TGGGGTCCGGGGGGGCGGGGCCCGGGGGAGCCGCAGGCAGGTGTGGCTGCTGGAGACCTCTGCCACCTGGGCCAAGGCACTTCAGCGAAGCCGCAGCGTCTCCCCGCCAGTCTAAGGCAGTCTAGCCAGCTCGGAGCTCATGCCCGGGCTCAGGCCGCCTCGGCCCCTTCCAGCACTTCCTGGCTGTGTTCCTTTTCTGTTGTTGCGAAAACCAGTCACCGCTCGGTCAGCCGCTCACACAGGCCTGTGTGAGCCCGAGGGACCGCAGGCCAGGGCAGTGCTGCGGGTCCCGCCGGACCGACGCCTCGGTGACCGCCCGTGTCCGCTGCCAGCCACTCCGGGGAAGGTCTGTCTCCTTGCCGGTTCGGGTTATGTCAGAGCCCAGTGCTCTGGGGGCCCAGCCCCGATTGCCGGCAGGGTGTCAGCTGGAGGGTGCCCCTAGCTCCATGCCCCGCACTGCCCTGCATCAAGATCAGAAGGGCGGGTGCCCTGGGCCTCTGCTCGCGGTCTGCTGTAACGTCCCCTTACGCACTCTGCTGTCTCCCGCCTCTGTTTTACTTTTGTATTTCCAATTGCCAGAGAGCTTGTGTGTTCTCCAGAGAGAGAGAGACAGAGATATGGGAGAGGAAGGAAGCCGCGTTGGTGGGGCGTGGTCATGCCACACACCTTCCCTCTGCTCTGGCCGCCCGTCAGGACCTGGGGCACACTCGCCCTTGGCCACCGCTGGGGTCAGGGCGAGCCTGTGTGTGGTGGGGCCGGCCCGCTCTCTTTCTGTCTAACCGCTCTTGGGATTACCTCGGGCTTCAGGCTAACCCAGAATGAGCCCAGGAACTAGCTCTCGGCACCCCTGACGCCCCGTCTGCCTGAGACCCGGTGCTGACTGGAGGAAGCAGCTTCCCTGGCCCACGGGTCCGGCACCTGTAAAGCCCAAGGGTAAGGCTGGCGTTCGACCAGCCTCCCTGTCACAGGGTGGCAACGGCAGGTGTCCCGGGGACGCCGCCACCTTCACAGCAGCCCCTCTTGCAAGACGGATCCCAGGACAGCGGCTGCTTTAAAGGCGGAGCCTCCA